AGGGAAGAAGGGGGGAGGGGGAAGGTTGGGGAAGGGTGGGGAAGGTGGGTGGAGGGAGGAGAGGGGAGAGAGAAGGAGAAACCAGGTGAACACAGTGTTGTCGAGAAGGGTACATTTTAATTAATTAGTTAAGTTTGTCCAACAACGTCTGATGATTAATGATGGCAAATTCATTCGCAGAGGAGAATAAAATCATTTAGCTCTATCCGTACGCCCAGGGTTGTATTCTTCGCATTTTAGAATACTTCTACTTCTAGTACGAATATCTCTTTGAAACTTTCAGTATTTCTCAAAAAATCATTTTGACAGACTGCTATGCAAAGCGTGCGGATCGGATTGACAAGTAAATTTCCTCTATGGAAAGTGGTGGCACAGAGTTCCCCACGTCGTATGGATACGATAGTAAAATACGACGTACGGATTGGGTTAAGCAAAACAGTAGAATTTAAAAATTCAAAGTTAAGATGACTCGCGGCTTCTGCAATGGCCAACTTTGATTGCTGCTCTCCAGCTGGGTCTCTCAGGAGCTGGACTCTTCCTTGTTGAACTGTCCCCGTGGTTTTATGCATCCCGCATAATTTAGCAAAATTTGATCATTTTTCGGATAGTTTCTGATTATTTTCCTTTATCATTCTTTGCTAAAATTAACAGAATCGCGTAATTTTTTGGGCTGTTTGCATAATTTCAGCATTTTTCTTGCATAAAACGACGGGGACAGCTTGAAGGACTTATGTTGAAGTCTTTCAAAGACATTTTCAGGGTGTTTTTGTTACACATTATAGTTGTTCCCACCTTATGCCTCCCCGAGGACAGTTCAGAATAGAATACTGCCTTTGACGTTCTGATATCAAAAATTTTAACGACATGGCCAGCCCTGCAAAGTTGATAATTTTGAGATTAGAAAACAGACTCTTGGTATTGTCCTTTTTGAGAATGTCGGTGTCTGGTGGTATATCTGTCCTGCCATTTGATGCCAAGAATACTCCTAAGGCATTTCATGTCGAAATCGTAAAACCCGCAAAAAGTACACAGGTGGTGAACTTGTACACAGTAGTGACATTTGGGTGCGCAATAGTATCGTTGAGGCAACTGTTTCCGTTTCGGTTTGAGTAATCAGAAGATCATCGAAAGAGAGGCAGACATTTGTGCGGCGGGGG